GGAAAGAAATCAGTGTAGGTCATGGAGACCAATGGGAGAAAAAAAACGGTGATATTCAAGAAAAAATAAAATGACCTACTCTGGTAAAAGTTGTACAAAGATTTGTGTAAAAATTTGTGACTTATGAATAAAATTTCATAAGCAGCAATGTAATATGATAACATCCCTTCATAAGATGCTGCACCTCCATTTCCTGTTAAAGTGGATATAGCTTTCCAGTTGCTATTATATACACTAATGCACCTAAAACTATATTATGCCTCTTACTAGCCACATTGTTTACATTTTCCCTTAGGAGGTGATAAATGCCCTCAAGCAGACTTGGCATGTCTACTGCTTTCTGTGTGCTTACTGTCAGCAACCAATCAGAAACAACACCTTCCACCTGGAGGATGGAGAACCATACTGTGAACCGGGTGAGTTATAATGGGGTTGATAAAATATCCAGATGTACTTCCTGTAATTGCTACTGTACTCATTGTACATGGTATAATCAAGCTCAAAGCATCTGTTATAACAAATAAAAGAAATAAGAAAAAATCTAAACTACATTTTATAAAACATGTAAGTAGTGTATGGTCAATGGTAAGCTACATTTATAACACTTCTCAGGTTTTACTAACAACACAAAAATAATATAAAATATAAAAAAGAAAAGAAAAATGGTGGTACAGTGGTTACCGTTGGTGACCTTGGGTGATGCTCACTCAGCCCAGCAGGCTGTAACTGCTAGTTATTACTAAAGCATGGATGGATTGATCATAATTATTTAACCCCTAAAATTAGTGTCAAGTGTTGATGTTCATTGTCACCAAAAACAACAGGATCGGAAACAAAAACACCTGCTGATTCACCAGTGGATCACTCGTAAGCAGTGTGTGATGAGTGAGTGTTAAATGTACTGAATATCAGCATTTTCCTGATGTAGGACATGTTTGCCTGTTACCAGTGTGCTTGTCATTGCACACTAAAGACTGTACATCTCCAAATGTAGGTTTTGTGGGAATTCCCTGTAGCGGTATACAATGTTTTTGTGCTAGAATAAAAGAAAGAAAAAATCCAGCAGTCTGTAAATAGATCAAAGATAAAAGTGGGCTTCAGTTGAATTGCTGCTCACTCGCAATGTGTTTTATATCCAGTTTCAGCTGTCGCGGGGTGAAAGCCAGAGTACACCCTGGACAGGTTTTCAGTCTATTGCAGGTCAAACACAGAGACACAACAAACAATTCATGCAAACATTAACACCTATACATTAACCAGATGGCCGCCCCTCCCTGAGCCTGGTTCTGCTGGAGGTTTCCTCCTGTTAAAAGGGAGTTTTTCCTTCCCACTGTCACCAAAGTGCTTGCTCATAGGGGGTCATATGATTGTTGGGTTTTTCTCTGTATGTATTATTGTATGGTCTACCTTACAATATAAAGCGCCTTGAGGTGACTGTTGTTGTGATTTGGCGCTATATAAATAAAACTGAATTGAATTGAAGTCAGAATCACCAGTTTACCTAACATGCGTGTATTTGGAGTGTGGGTGAACCTGTTGTACCCCAAATAGTTGCAAGCTCCCTTTGTTGAGTACTAAAGTTTGCTTGGGTCTTGCCATTATGACTTTAAACCCTTTGTTTATACCATAGTGACATGACTTTTCTCTTTGTCACTAAACAGACTTTTACAGCTTGTTTGGGACTGGCTGTCATGGCTGTGAGTTTCCCATCGAGGCTGGAGACAAATTCCTGGAAGCCCTTGGCTACACCTGGCATGATACCTGCTTTGTATGTGCTGTAAGTGAAGGCCTTAGGCATGAATCACAGTAAACTGCGTGCATCAGCAGACTAACACATATGACCTACTGTCACATTTACTCATATTCCCATTTCCAACTTTGAGCCATCAAGAAACTTTTATCTATTTAACTTGGACACAAAAAAAATTAGGAAGCAGTTTGAGGTCATAGTGGTACTTTCTGCTACTGGCCCTATTTAGTCCTTTCTGTCATTCTTTCTTGTTATTGTTAATGTACTACAACAATGTTCATTTTTATCCATCCTTTATAATGGAGGTTTTTGCAGAACAGCTTACTTGTAGCAATCTCATAAGCTCACCGTAAGTCATTTTTCCACAATAATATGACAGCAGTGCTTATTTTAGATGAAACACTGACTTACATCCATTGTGAATGTTAGTGTAGGCTGGCTAACTTTTGTTATATAACCTCTTATTATTCATGTGTGCTGGGCTCTTTACAGGTGTGCTGTACCACACTGGAAGGCCAGACCTTCTTCTCCAAAAAGGACAAACCTCTTTGCAAGAAGCATGCTCACACACTGAAGATATGAAGCCTAAACTATTCACTTGGCCACATGTTGTCTCACGGAGGGTTGGGGACACCTTTTATGATGACAGTAGTAGTCATTATTGTAGTGGTGCTATCTCTTAGCACAAAAAGCAATAAAGCTTAAGGATCTTAGTTTTGACCACATTTCAACCAAATATAACTGATCTTTGTAAACTAAATGTTATGTTGTCAATCATCCCCAAATAGCAAGGTTTTACTGCCAACTGATACATTTTATATACCATAATGCCATTTTTATTTCCTCACACATAGGACTGTGACTTTATCATTTACTTTGTTCTTCTGATTTTTGTCTTGAGTGGTGAGATCATCACACTTTCTGTTTTTATTATTAAGCTTGCACAGTGCTCATTATCTTTAGACACCACCAGAAATGTTTGATAATTTTAAGTATTCAAGGATGCTGGCAAGTTTTTATTGTTAGTTATGATATTTGTTAGTGTTTGTGTAGTTGTAATCAATTTTATTAATCTGGCTAAAACCTATAAAGACTTAAAGATGAAACTGTAGAACGTCCTGTGTTACACTTCATTTTATTTTGTTTTTTGCATTACAGTTTCACAAGCAACTATTATAAAAAAATTCCCAGTATATGCATTAAAATACTGCAGGATATGCTTGTGTTAGTTACTTTATACAGTTCATCTGTGAATGTCTGAGTTGTAATTAAAGCTGCTGCCTTTGATTTAATCAGTTATTTGAATGTTGTAATTTAAGGAAATTTGATTTCATTTTCTATTTGTTGAGTGAAACTGGCTACGACATTAAGGCACTTGAGCAAACCTGAACACCAAAAACGATCAAATGTTTTTCATAGATACTTTCACCAGCTTTTATTAGTTTCCTCTTGCTAGTTTGCTAGTACAGGGTTGGACCCCTTTTGCCTTTAGAACTGCCTTAATTCTTCATTGCATTGATTCAACAAGTTGCTGGAAACATAAATCTGAGATTTCGGTCCATATTGACATGACAACATCCGACAGTTGCAGATTTGTCGACTGCACATCCATACTGGGCTGTTGCCCATCTGCTTCAAGGTTTGACATGTTGCGAGTTCAGAGATGCTCTCAAGTCACTTAAATCAACTTTCATCCCCATTCTGATCTTCAGCAAGTTACCTTGACTATTTCTAGCATCTTAATGTATGATGAAACATTTGCATTAACAAGCAGTTAAAAATTAAAGTGAATATTTAAGTGTCTGGTGAATGTATATAGAAGTCCCTGTTTCTTCCTTGCTATGTGGACCAACATATCTTTCTTGACATTTCACATAGTTTCATGAATCCTGTTCCCATTTTTATTTATTTTCTGCCATGATTTAGAAAGAAAATATATTTGCTTTAAAATCTGTTTCATACACTTCTCCTTATGTTTAGCTCTGTTTAGAAAGTACATTTTTTAAAATTTTGTTAGAAGAGGAAAAAATGTTTGAGATGACATTAAGTAGAGAATGTTGTTATTTTAGAAACTGGTGCAGGGATTGGATGGATGGAGGGTAGTTTCTTGTTTTTTGACTGTCTACACACCTTTAACATGAGGACATTTACTTACTTATTGGTGCAGGATACATCCAGCCTATTTAGTTTTTTCCCAATGCTATTACAAATGACAACCCACTCTTTCACTCACTTCTTATAATTATAAATCTTGTTTTTTACTGTAAGGGGCTAATGGGCATGATTTAAGTGTTCCGTCTCTAAATTCTCAAGTAGAAAACTGTTGTTGGAACTCTTAAAGTTGATCTGGTTTTTTAAATAAATTATGTGCTTTTAAATGCCCCAAACAAATATGTCTGCTATTTTTTTATAGTGTAATGATATCTAACCAAATTAAACTATTTTAACACAATTGTAGAGAAGTCATAGCCACTGTCAAGAGGATTTTTAACACATCTGCACTGCTGACAAATGTTAAAATGGGCAGACAGAGAAATAAAGGTGAAAATGAGGTAGTAAACGGTGGTATGTAGGGCACATCACCACACATAATTCCCATGTCCTCTATACAACCAGCATTTTTAATACAAACCAATCTTTGCACAATCAAACTGATTTTACTGTTATTGTAGAAAACAACAAAAATGAGACAACTGTTGGGGGATTTTTATTGAGTGTATATAAGACACATTAACAAACCCAGCACTGACCCTTACATGCTGTCTCAATTGATGGGGCATGAGTCAGGCAGAAAAATTATCCAGTATAGTTGATGTCACATGGTAACATAGTTTAAGGAGTTAGCTCATAGCTTACTTATTTGATTCAGCATTGCTGAGCTAATGTTTACTTGTTATTGTAGCATGATGTATAATCCTTAGCATATAGGCCTATTTGATAGTCTTTTCACATAAGACTCATTTTAAAGTCCATCAAATTTAAAACGTTCTTAAGGGAAAATCTAAGCAAAACAACAAAAACACTGTGTTGTGCGACAAAGCCTGGATGTGTTTTTCTTTGTAATTAGACTGGAGTTCATTTGTGTTTAGGTGTTCCTTAAACAACTAGCCCTTTGGAGTGGTTTTAAGGAACCCATTCAGTGCGAGTCTTCACTCACCTTTCTCCTGCTAATGCACTCCTTCTCTTGTGGCATTAAGTTAATCACCCTCCTGCAGCTGAGGGACCTTTGCAGAAACACAGTCGTGTGTGAGACCAGTGTGTGTGTGTTTAAGTGTAAAGAGAGCGAGGGAAAAGCGCGAGAGAAAGAAAAGCTACACTTGGAAACAGAGTGACTCTACCCTGAGTATCGTGGGCTGCAACTTTTCCTTTCAGTCGACAAAAAGAAAGCCAGAAAGCATCCTAAGGTGAGTAAACTCGAAGCAGACGCGAGTCGGAGATCTTTTTCAGTCAGTTTGTATTCACCTTGGGAAGTTTGACAGAGCGTTTTTTGTCGTTTCTCTCGGGGTGTTTACAGTCAGATTCACGTCATATCGACTTATTTTTGTGGAGCGTTTTTTAAGGCTTATCTCACTGCGTAGCTGTTCCTGAGCCACAATGTGATGGAAGAGAGAGAAGTTTAAGCGCTAGGAGGAGCTTTAATAGTTTACTCATGTCTCTGTTAGCGGTGTTTACGTTACACTTTACGTGATTGGGATTTCTGTGGCGTTGCTTGGTCTATATTTTCCAAAAGTGAAAAGTAAATTAGGATACATGTTAAATAACACGCAGTAGCGGTCAGCCAAGCTCGCAACTTCTTTTTTCTTAACAATCAATAATATGTGCTGTTATCAGAGGAATGCATGATGGATTCTAGATTTACACCTTATTCCTCTTTTTCTTGTTCTGTACTTTAATATTCATTTGTACAGTGTGCAAATGGTAGTTACTTAACGTAACTCTAGTTCTATGAGTTGATGTACAGCCTTGTACCAGGATTTACTGTTGGCTAATTTCACCAAAAGATACTAGGACAAGACCAAAGACTTTTAGCTGTGGCAAGTGAAAGGAGTAGGCTATTCTCCAGTCCCATCTGTACTCATGACTCTAAAGAGAGGAACTATCTTCAGGTCCCACCTTGGAATGATACATCTAGTAAGAGGCTTGGTGCACGCCCCTTTTGCAATGTATGGAACTTAGGAAGTTGTCTGTCTTTTCCTTTAATGTGTTGTGCCAGCTGTGCCTTGTCCACAAATTTAGGATCCCAGATGCAAAGGGACAAGTAAAAGACTGTTTAGTGGATGGCTCACATAGCTATGCATGATGGTCAGCTGCAAACAATTCAATTTAACCTCAAACAAAACCTGAAGAAATTTCTGGATGCCCTGCGCTGGGCAGAATGGTGGCTTGATGGTCTGATTTTTTTTTATTAATTAAAAAGAAGTTATTAGTTTCTCAAGAAGAGGGAAAATTCAGTTGTGTGAAGAAAAGCATATATATATATATATATATTATAATGACAGCTGACGATTGAATATTTTAATAGAATTGGCTTACAACTTGTAGTAGCAGTGACCCAACTTGAATTTTCGAGACTTGCCTGAGTGGGCCCCCTTATTCAAGGGCTCAAAAAGCAGAGGGGAAAAAATCAAATGAACCTCAACACAGCCTCCAGCACTGCCCCAGTATTCCCCATACACCCCACTTATACACACATAGGCATGCACATAGTATTCAGCTCTCTCTTTGAGACCAGTAACCAGGTCCAGGTGTTTGTCAGTGTAGCTTATGACAAGAGTAGGCTATATCTGTATGTGTGCATGTGTTCACATGAGCAAGCCTGTGTGAATGTCTGTCCAGATGGCATAATCCTGTGACTCCAAATCTTACCTCACCTCATCTGAGGGGTCCGGGACCGGTAACACAGGGAAACCGCGCAGGAAAGCACTCAGCAAGTATAAATGAGAGAAACAGAGGTCCAGATGTGTGTGCGTGTGTGTATGTGTATGTGTGTGCGCCTCTGTGCGTCAGTGTGAGGGTACTGTTCTCCCTGTCTGTCAAACTAGTAAGTGTTTGCAGTTGTTGAGGCTTCAGTTGGAACAGCAATCTTATTTAGGTCAGGAACACATCAAATAAATCTGAGAAACAGCCACATTCTCAATTGGCTGTGTAATTGAGTTTTACACAGCAGCTGTAAACAGAACGCTTCCTTAATTTTCTGTCCTTGTGTGTGTGTGTGTGTGTGTGTGTGTGCATCAGAGAGAGAAATATCAGACACTTAACAGTTTTAGACACCTCGTGATGTGAGACATGCTTACTGCTGGAAATTTAGATCACATTGCTTGAGATTAATCTACATTCTAAGAATGCCAAATATGCCTAAAACAAACTGAATTTGCACTTGGCTAGAAAAAAGATAAGTGCAACACGTAGGAAGGACGAGGTGCTGCAAAATTGCACTGGAAAGTAAAGCTTATTCAAAAGTGTGACATAATGCCCTATTTAATATATTCGTGAGATTGCATAGTTTTTGTGTTAGTCGATAGATGTAAGCCTGTCTCTTTTATTTTGTGCTTAAATGTGTGATACGATTAAATGCAGGTAAATTGTCAAAGCAGTTTTTATTTAAAAATCTATTTTTTTCCTGTTGTCAAACAGCTGAATACAAAGTTTTTTATAACTGGGCATATAAAAAAATTACAATTCATACACTGGAGACAGGGACTGTTTTAGGATTTTATATGCAAAATGATTACTCATCCATGTCATGCCATGCAGTCAAGTGAAGTAGCTTTTGACACCCACTGAACACGGTAGACTCAGCATAAGCCTCAAAAAATCCCAGATTCCAAACTCAGCGAACGTTCGTGTTAAAGATTCTTGATGATGTTATGTCCATAACCGAGCAGGCAAAGTAAAACCTGAAGTACTGCTTTGTAGTTTTTATGTCTAGGCATCAAAAAATGAAGCTAAACCAGATGAAATAGGGGTTATTGAAAGGAATGATAAAACCATGATGCAATAGTGGGAGCTCGTAAAATTGATTTGTTCAAGTGTTCAGTGAGAGCAAATGGGTAAATGGCACGAGGTCAGATTTACAGAAATGTGCCATGTCCTTGATATTTCTGTTCATTCCATTCTGCAGTGGCTGCTTGCCAGACCTCACTGCTTTTATCTTTCTCCTTTTATTATGCTAACGACAGTCTTGATTTAAAACAATATCAGATCCCTAATCACAAGAATCAGATTACCTACGATGCATTAAATAAGAATGCATATGACAGTAGGGTTAATCAGAGTGTAAACAATCATTTAAGTGAACCATAGTGCAGTGTTTAGTTTCTCTAACATTTAATTTCCTCAACTTGATGGAGTTGATAAGACTCAAAAACAGATAAGAGAACTTAGCCTGGGGCCTTTTTCCCCCCAAGACCTTACGCTCTTTAATTACAGTGTCAGTGTGATTTATAGAAACATTTGAGCATTTATCTCCACTCAAATTCTGAAACATTCTAAATTTTGGATTTTTTCTCAGAGTCCTCTTTGGTTCTAGTGTTGAGATAATGAACTGTGCCCAGCCTGCCTTAAATAGCCTCAGATCTGAGGCTCTGTTCTAAAAGGTTGGAGTGGCAAACACTGGAAACATCTACTGCTTAACCTTAATTATGTTAGATTATATTACAGATTTGATTTTCAACTTAACAGCTACCCTCCAACAACTCTTAAAAAAAAAAAGAAAAAAAAAAGAAGCATTTGTCTCTTACAAAAAAATCACCAAGAATAATTACGTGGTTATACAACTCTATTTTGTAAATGTTTTGAAAAATAGCAAGAAATATAACAATAACAATACCAGCTTGTCTGTAATGTAAATTGTAATTGTTGTTCTTAGTGTGTTTTTTCTCAGCTGTAGAGCATTATGTTGTTTGTGTGATAGTTTTACTTACAGACGTCTCGTCTCGCCTGGCCAGATGTGGAACAACATGTTTAATCTGCTCAGGCTTTGCTTTACCTGTGGGAATGGTGCATCTAACAGCATTTGCATTCATGAATTTAAAATTAGGATTAGAACCCATTTTACTCTTTATATATGACATAAACAGTAGCACATAGTAATAGGCTGGCGGTGTAGTTAAATATCTTATAAGGTCAGACACATTTATGAAAACTGTCAGTCACAGGGGGGAAAAAACAAATGAAATATAATGAATGTTTAGCTAGCAAAGAAGAAGAAGTCTATTTGTTAGTGTTCAGTGTTTAAGAACAGCTGCTTTTGCCATCTGAATGTGTAAAAGTGTTATAACAAAGACAAAAACAATAACATCATAGATTAACATACATGTCTGTGTTTTAATAAATGAGCAGGGCAAGCAAGGCCTGACAGAAACCACCAGTGAGGTGGATTTTTGCTTGTTTCTTTAAGTACGCTTCAGGAATAGTTCTCCAGGCTTCTCGAAGGACATTCAAAGCTCTTCTTTAGATGTTAGCTGCCCTTTTTTCTGTTCTATATCAAGATGATCCCACACGGCCAATCCATGACTAGTGTCCATTAATTGTGTTTCTATCCACGTATGTTTTACTGCATTATATGTTTGTGAGGCTGATAAATAAAGCCGTTGCCAATCAAATGCTTTTCTGATGATATTGCGTCGTGGATTAAAATTCAGATGTACTTTTCTGTATCCATAATTTCATCAATTTTGAGAAGATCCAAAACACCATTGTCTGAAATGCCCATGACAGAGTGTCCACTGAGTTTTGCACATGGCAGTAAACACTCTGTTGTACCTGTCTCCGGACCTTCTCCTCACGTACTGATAATGAATCAAAAATGTCCAAATTGATTAATTGCCCCATAAGACCTGTTTGCACAAATTTTCAGTCGAGTTCTTATGTAATCTATTACAACTCAGACTGTTTCCTTTTCTTAAAAATAGCTTATTAAATGCCAACCTTCCACTGAGACCATTTTTTATGAGTATCAAAATCCAACTTAAAATTGGTTCTTTGGCAAGTTGTCCATTACAGTATGTGTAGAGACAACACTGGCTCATTCCTTTGAGTTGGGTGCCTTTTTTTATGAATGACTGATTCATAGCTCAGTGTTTAGTGGTTTAACAAACAAACAAAAATGTATTCCTCTGAAAATAGTTGGATACAGTGAGCAGACTGAAACCAAGAGAAACAGTAGCCAGTTCCCACTAAAAGACCTTCAGAAAGCCTGGAGAACTATTGCCCAAGGCCACTCTAAAGACAGCCTGGCTTCCTGGAAGCAAAAATATAAAGAAATGATAAGTGGATCAAGACATGTGCACAGAACTCTAAAATGCTTTATATGGATATATCTAACATGTTTTTTGCTCTTAAAGGGTTTTTCTACCTCCTTAAGTCAGATATTAAACTTAAACTTAAAATTTGATTTAGAAAG